ACTGGCAGAAATTCTGAGTATCTATCACTTAATAGTTTTTATTCTTCTAGCTTCTAATTCTTGCACGTAATTTGTAGACTGCTTTTGAAGCAGCTGACCTGCATGAAAACATAAGTGAAAATAGTAAATATGGCAGAATTCTTCTACTAGATCTCTAAAATGCAAAATTTATTTGGAGAGACTGAAAAAAGGGAGCATTAATTAACTTTCTATACTTGAGAGATTTTGCTTAAGTCCTTTAGCAGAACTGAGACAATTATAAAGCTATCTGATTTCCAACAACAGAACTCCACAGACCTGTGCTAAAAATGAGCATGCACTGCTGTGCACAGTGCAGTGGCTACAGCATAGCCACATCCAATTACTTTCAAGTTGTTCTACTTCGTTTTTCTGGGTGCGACTAGACTAGCAGAAATGCTGAGATTTCTCATTTCAAGCCTTACAAGGACAAAGGTTTATTTAAAAAAAAAAAAAAAAAAAAAAAGGCTGAAAAAGGTTGGGTGTGTATGCCACCTGTACTGTTGGGCTCACAAGTAAAACTTCAGTAGAAAATTAGAAATGCATTCTCATTCAGTCTTTCATTTAGATAATACAAAGTCTCCCTAATTGTTTCTGCAGCGCTTGATTTGTGCTGGAGTAGGACTGTAAGAGTGTTTTTCCTGAGGGAATAGGGATCGTCATGAAAATGAGATGTGAATCTTGTCAGGCTGCCTGGCATGTATGAAATTTTAACTAGATAAATCCTGCTACAAGGAATTTCGTTAGAACTGCTGAATAACAACTGTAAAAGTTCTGGAAGTTGATTTGTCCTGCTCTGATAGTAATTGTAATGACTCAAGATTAATTTTAGCATTAATAAAAGAGGTAATTGCAGTACTTAAAAGGCTGAGGCAAATCAGTGGAAATGCTTTGGAAAGGATAATTATACCTGCACAAGGAAGACTATCTGTTTAATAGCATTAACTGGTCCAATTAAGAAGTGGAGGAAAGGCAGACTTGTTACTTCTTTAACTGTTCTCTGAAAAAGTGGGTTTGATATGCAAGCAATAGAAATTGGCTTGTTTTTTTTCCTGACGTGATTCCCCACACTTTAAACATTTTAATGACTATTGGGGGGATCTTGTATTTAGTTACCATTAGGTGCTTAACATCCCAGACATTCTGGTATTTTACCATCTAAACAAGAAGAGAGGCATTGGGTTGTGTTTATTTGGCAGGCGTTTTTTTCCACATTGTTAACCTAATCTGGCCATAATCCCAGTCTAAACATCCATAAAGAGATTATTCTTAATCGGAGGAAGATGGGACGAGAAGAGGATTCTCTTTGTTGGCCAGAACAGCAGCAGGTTTGGGCTATTTTACTACTGATAAGAGCTAGAGCAGGCTACAGGCTGGCTGAAAGCAGCGTAGGATCTGCTGCTGCAAAGCTTTTCCCTAGGGCTTGCCTGCTCTAACATAGTGACATGTGTGTCTTTAAGCATAGGTGTGGGAACGCACGTGTGTGTACACACACCACTCATTTGCAAGCTAATGCAGGGATTTTGTGTCGATGCGTTCAAGAATACATACCAGCATGTATAAGCAGGCACAGATTTTACCAGGGGGAATAGAGGGAGCAGAGTTTAAGTGGGTTTTAATCCTTCCATGAATCCTTATCTTTCATTTCCTTGCTGTAATGCTGGCATTGCTTTTGGCACTTTGCTCAGATCTGGAGCGGTTAAAAAAAGTTTTAACTAAAATTTAAAAACAAAGGCCCAAACCTGCTTTGTGCAGTTGCACAAAGGTAGTAGCACTGTACAGAAAGGGCAGCTAAGGCAGCCCTTCACCCGCTGGCATTGCCAAATATAATTTAGACAACAGACAGCTCTACCTTCGTTAAGGCAAGCATACCCACTGTTACATAATACAGACAGGTAATAGCACAAAGGCACTCTTTCATATCAGCTGTGGGTTTATTTCTGCCTCTACCTACAGATAGATGCATAAATACGTGTGTATTTATACCTACAGAGTATTAAAACAGCATTCCAGAACAAAACAATCCCATGAATACATTTATGCCCGAGCAGAACTCACAGAAACTGATACAAGATTGATGTTTATCACATTGTTCAGGGCACTGCTTGAAAGCTGTCAGCCAGCGCTGCCTAGAACATAAACCCACCATCACTATCACCGTGCTGGCTGTACCCACAGATCCCACTTCAAAGAGTCTGAAGTCTAATTACTTAAATACAAAAAACAAACACACCACTAAAACAGGATGATGTAATCAGGAAAAGGATAACTACAAATTGCAGAGTTACAAATTTCTAAATTAGAACAAATAATAAAAAGCATTTTAATTTTGCAGAATTTAAAGCTGACAAGGAGTTAGTTTTCTCCTTTTCAGTGAGAACGTCAGCAGTGGACAGAAAGTCAAAGAAGGCGAACATCATGGACTGTTAAAGAAAAATACTTGCTCTACCACGTTCAAAAAGATTAATATGTAGCCCGAGAGGTGGTATGACTGGAGCAGCAGGAAAGAAATGAGTACTTAGCAGGAGCAACGGATACGTTTGGTTTATTAAAGTCCAGATCCCACAGTAGCTTTGCATAGCTTTATTTAAGTAGAATGATCTAATCCAAAGAGAGGTTCTCTGAGCTCTGCACTGCAATTAATCTTCCCATTCTTTTGATTAATTGCAGATACATACCTTAATTCCTCTTATTAAATGACCCTAGTGCATTTCCAGTCCCCTAGCAGCACAGAGTCTACTGGTGCTTGATGATTAGCAAGGAAATAACTGACCACAACACATGATTTTTATGGGGTAGTCCTTTAATGATTAATAAAAATATGAATGGCACCACAACAGCCTCTCTTCTCAATCTCAGCTTCTAAAGAGGAAAGCAGGAACCAAAGAAAGATGCTGAAACTGTTACCTGTTAAGATTTCTCCAACAATTAGTCACTTCTGCCTCTCCTAATCAAAATTATGCCTACATGTTTATATTCTGCTTTAATACAAAATCTCATTATTAACTTTTTTTCTTACAACAGAAATGAGAAAAATGCAGTGATTTTAAAAGAATGTCGAAAACCAGAGTAGATCCCCAGAAAAAACGGCACATCTCATGATCTTCTCTGAGGGAAGGACAGCACCGACCTCCCAAACACATAGCTTTTACCAGCTCTGCCTAAGAAAGTGATTAAGCACTGTACTTGGAAAATTTTCACTCTGATCCTACATTTCTTCAGTACTAAGGGCTACTCAGCTCTAGATTTTTAATCTGTTTTATAAAAGCCTAATTGCAAAATTGTGTGGAGTTAGGCTAAGTTCTGAATTTTCCTGTGACATGGGAAAACTCAGCCTAGATATTAAATTCTCACTTCATCTCTGTCAGTACTAATGTATATACTTGACTGAAAAACAACCACCTTGGACATGTCACCAGAAGGCACACTATAAATTATAGACCCTGCTCCAAAAGTTTTTGAGTATTAATACTGCTGATGCAATTGCATAAAAATACAATTTTGGGGAAATGTGATCCATCCATCCCATCCTGTATATCCAAAGCCCAAATTTTTCCAGTAGGTAAGTGAACAAGAGTGAGGTTGAATGGAGATGGTCTATGTTCAGCTAAAAATACTAAACAAACACCCCCCACCCCCAAACAGCAAGTCTCTTCCTCTATTGTATAAACAAAGGCAGAAACAGAATCAAAGCTTCTTCGCTTTTTTCCTAGTACCCTATTTGTTCAGTAGAATCAGAGATGCATATTTAATAGTTTGCCATAGAAGTAGTGCATTACTGACTGTTACTAGAATTACAAACTAGTAATGTTGAAACTAATTAACGGAATAAAAGAGCCGACCCTGCTGCAGTGCGTATATGTAGCAGTTTCATTTTGAATGTGTGCAGATTAGACTGATGGGACTTAAAGACCTCCCTACACCGTACAGAGAATATAACTGCCAGTATTTCAACATTTAACAACTAGCATTATTTTCTTTAAAATGTCCTTCATGGTGGATATGACCTCCCAAACAAGGAACACAGCAGATGAGTAGGTAGCAAAGAAGTCCAGTTCTAATGTCTTGGCCAAATTCCAACTTCAGTAATTACACTCTGCTCTTAAATTCCCCCTGCAGCTCTGCTAGAATAAAGCACTTTTTCAGCTTGTCCTGAAGCATTGTGTAGTATTCCTGTGAAGCTGTACAACACTGAAAAATATCTCCTCCCATTAACGCTGCAAGGAGAATTTAGGTAGACAGAAAGCTATAACCAGAGTTTGAATTTGGGCAGAACACCAAGGTTAACTTATATTTGCATTGGGATCAAGGATCCTTGCTGACTAGGAGTGTCAGACCCTTGTTAAAGGGCACAAGTGGGAATAGCTCGCTGTGCTGCCTGAATACAAATGCAGAAAAGTGGGATCTCCGCAGCTGGAAGTGTTTCCTAACAAATGACTCTGTATAAAAGCCTCTGGTGCTGTAGAGTATCTTACCAAAACTTTACTTGGTTATTTAGTAGTATTTATGAAATTATTTGTTGATAAAAAAAAGTTTCAGCAACTTCAAACCAAAACAACCTACATTTTAAAAGTCTTTACCAACAGAAAAGCAGCTATATAACCCAATTATTTCAAGGCAAGTATTTGAATTTCAATAAGTAGATCTACCAAGAACCACTCAAAGACTATTTAAGCAAACTGAACCAGGCCTGTGGTATTAGTGAAAGCATTCCGTTATGCTAAATAAATAGCTGTAACAGTTTTCTTAGCCTCTAAATGGAGACTCATTTAAAATATTTAGGTAAATTAGTTTATACTCAAAACCAAAAAAAGTCATTCTTACTAAACTAGAATAATTTAGAACAATCACTGTACAAATTCCTGTAGAAAGGAAAAAAAAACCTCTCCAAATCCATCCACATCCACTGAGTGTTTGCTATTTGTCTTTTGTGCTTTTTTTTTTTTCCCCTTCTTCCTGTTGCTGCCTTTCTTTTTTTCAGATCAGGGCAGCTGTAAGCTTTGTGCTTTTATTTCCTCCATTTCTTTAATCTCAGCTTTCTTGTATTTTCGTGTCCGCAGCCACCTCAGAATAACTAGCACAGTGATGCCAAAGCCAGCGATCAGCATCACCACTGTGACTACAGCGCTAATGTTAGCAGCCAGTTGTTTCATGCAAAACTCCGGTGGCTTTTCATCAACATAGTAAATCTGTAGTTTTTCAATATCCAGAGCATCTCCATTGACAGTGACAGTTAACGTACTGTTGGAATTAAATACAGAGTCATCTTTAATATCTTTTTCAAAGTAGTAGGCTACATCAGCTATATCTACATCACATCTGGATTTCTCACTCTGGTTCAGGCGGATTTGGATAAGTGGGGAATTGTACTTAATGGCTGCAATGTACTTAGGGTGCAGTTTGTATCGGCTCTCAAACAGGTGTTTCAGGGCGTTTCTTACATCAGGCACATCAAAGGCACTGGACCTTTTTTTGTGTATCAGTTCAAGGTAGATCAAGTTTGTTCTTACCAGTTCACTGCAACTCAGGCTTTTGTCACCCTTTTCGCTTCTTCTTACTCCAGCAGTGTTCACACACCAGCAAGTATCAGTTGGATTGCACTGCCTGGCTTTGAAGATCCCACTGTCCTCGCAGTCTGGATTGTAAATGCCATCACTGTCTAACAGCCCATGGGGATGGCCCTGGAAGCACTTCTCCTTCAGGGGGATCATTTCTGCCTTCATCAGCAAGCATTTTGAAGTCAGTGTTGAACAGTCTACCTCACGATTGGAACCTACCAGCGTGCAGGTGCAGTTCCCAGAGTCATCCTGGGCACATACTGTCCACTTGTTGGTCACACAGGTACAGTTGTTCTGCGCTGATGAAGCTACCGCCAGAATCAAACCCAGCAACACCCCAAACAGAGGCTCCATGCTGCAGGTGAAACGTGCAGATAGTCCCGAGTGACAGCAAGCAATACCTGAAGCTTTAATCCATTCGTGGAGACGACTGGTTTTTACACGGTGGTGTGCTGCTCCCTTTATCAGGATTCAACTCAGACCCACCAAACAGGTTCTCCTTCCAAAACAACTGGCATCTCGTACCCAAATCCTGGAGAAGTCAACAAACTGCACTTTCATCTATTACTTCTCAGGGAGTGGCACCCAACGCCTGCCTCCAGCTGCCTGCCATCCCTCGCCCTTGATGAGGAAACCATCGGAAGAGACAAAAACCAACCTGAATCATAGCTCCTACCTTGGGCCTCCCTTACGGATTAAAGCACAAGCAGCTTGCCCTTTCCCTTTAGGCTTTTATGGACTATGTAAATGAACAGTAAAGGAATTTCTCCCATTTCAGTTGGAAGAAATCCTACTCCTCTGCTTCCATCATCTTTTTTTTCTGTGCCTTCCATCATGCAGCTTCTGTATCATTCCACTGACTAGATTCTTATCAGTTATGGACTTCCTTTCTACTTTCATATATTTATAAAATAAAGCCTTGTGGAGTTTTATGTATGCTGCCTGGAGTAGCTGCCAATTCAGGACGAAGGACTGTTCATCAGTTTGATGGCTGCTCTCCTACGTACAGAGCACAGGAATGCAGTCTCATCTTCCAGCACGGAAAGGTCCTCTCCCCTCTTTCCTTTGGCACATCCTCATCCCAAGGCAGCACTAGGAATGGTAATTTTCATGCTTGCATTACCCCTACAAAGTTGTTAGCCATTTCTGAAGAAATTTTTCACTCTGAACTTTGAGTAATGCCTTTCGCAGTACACTCCAGTAGCTCCCAAGCGTCCTAATGATCTACAAAGCATGAGTTACCATTTTGATGTATTTTGGCAGCAGCTGGAAGATGTTTTCGTTTGCATTAAGCAAGTCCCATTCATCTGATTTGTCAAACACAGTCAGACACTTTATAAATCATTATTTTGGGACCAGTAACGACCACAGAACAGCGTAGATGCCATTCTGCCATCCACACAACTAGCATGCTGCCTTGTGGTCAGCTTTTCCCTGCCCTGCTTCAAATCAATGCAAGCTGGGCTACTTGTCATGATGGCTTGCATCTGTGTGAACAGTGGGAAGTTACCCTGGCTGCCAGTGAGTATTTATAACACCGTACAGGTTTAAAATTAGAGCTCCAGCTGTAAATACCCTCTACCACTAGAGAAGGGCACAATCTGGAGTTGAACTTTGCAGCTAGACCTATTTCTGAATAAGCCACAGAAACACACGCTATTTGAGGGAGCAAAGACAAGTTCTTCAAATTATTACTGGCTCTGTTATGGCACATTATCACACCTTTCCATTTCCCCTTCAGATAAAAATAACAGGAGTTACTTTTCTTAGAAAAAAATTCAAATCCACAGCTAAAATTATTATTAAATTTGCTAGGTATTTCAAGTTGTCATATTGATGATTCTTTGACAATAGTTTAGTAACTTTTCCCATTTTTAATTTCTAAGTCATTTACCCATAATAATCTGCTTTTAAAAAAAAAATTCACATCCCTTCTTCAAACTCAAAATCCATTTAACTGTCACCTACATACTCATATCTTGTATGATAATTTATTTCACATTATGAACTTCAGAGAGAAGAGGTTCTGTTTTTCTTCTCTCTGGGGGACAGAGCCACAGCTGCTGTAAACACAGCTCGCAGCTGGCTTCAGTGAAGCCAGGGCAATTCCTATAGTGCCGAGAGCTGCGCGGCCCTCGCACTTAGAGGGCAACATATGGACAGGCAGGAACAGGACTTTTTGGTAAATAATAGTTTGCTTGTATGCTGTTTACAAACATTCATGTTTGGTCTCAACTTCCTATTATCATTTGACAGTTTCCCCTTCTTAGAGACACTTACAGTGAAGTAGAGAAAAATTAAGTGGTTTGTCAAAAGTAGTATATGGAAGAAAAACCACAGGTAACTAAATGACAGTGTTTTCCCTACTGGTGGGAGATTCTCAGTGCTGTTACCTTAATGAAAAACTGCACTCCCTGTCTCTTCCCTCAAAGGTGGGCAGAAGCATGACAGCAAGTTTAGAATATACTCATCACCAAGCAAAAAGTGTAAACAGTGGCAAGAGAAGGGCAAAGAAGGAAAAATTTTAAGTTTTGCTGACAGAGCTGCATAAATTGCCAAAATAAAAGTGCGCTTTTCCATTGACCTTATCGTACTGGTGGATTTTCCCCTCTGTAAGTAAGGGGAGAACAGACTTAGCTTAAAGACAAAAGTATTTCCAAGTATCTCTCTATATATTTATATATACTAAAAAAATATATGTAATGCCTCTATGACACTAAAAAATAGTATTATTTCCTTTACTCCATGCTAAGCTGTAATGGCATGACAAGAGTTAAATATTTAGAACAGCAGGCTGTAAAAGGAATAATCCTGTAGGAAATGTGGAGTGCATTATTTCTTTAGTGATCTCTGCTTCCATGGAAACAATTTCTCGGCACAATTCTAAATCTCATAAAAATAGGGCACTAGGTCTATGTAAAACAGCAAGACATTTCCAATTAAACAACGAGAATGCTTTTATCTAGGCCATTAAATACTTTGTTCAGCATCAAATACAATTACATTGTTCACTGAGATGTTAACAGCCAGCTACTTGCCATGCACTGGCTCTCTGGGCCGGCCGAAGTCACCCCGCGTGCATCCTGACATCCCACGCCTCGGCGGCGAGGTTCACGGGAACAGCACCGCGTGTTTCCTTCCCCGTGCGACGCCAGGTGCGCCGCTGTGCCACACCACACCTTTCCATGTGTGCCGTACAGCTCCACGCTGCTCCCTTTCCACCTCAACACCTCCTCGTAGCTCAGTAACGCCCGGCAGACCAAATTCTCTGCTAGCACAGCAGAAAGAGTTAATCTGACTCCTGCTGCTGGCAGGAAGGGATCTAGAACCAACACGCTTCAATCAAATTTGGGTAATTAATATAGTTGTTTGAAATGCAATTCAGAGCTCAGTGGAGTTGCCCATGAAAACAAACCCATGACATTTTTACCTTAGCGATCCTACAGCCAGGATTAGCTGTGAAAACAGCGTGGAAAAATACCGATCTGGCATCCCTGCATTTCCTGAAGGACACTAAAGCAGGGGGTTTGCAGGAACACATGAAAGAAATAGATCTATGCCAAGGTACATGGCTACTGCCCAGAAAATGTCATCGCCAGCCAGAAGTTTAGGTGTGTTAGTAAGAACAGTTTTGCTCTTGGTTCAACCATTTTGTATCAGTAGTGAGAACGCTCCCTCTAGTGGTATTAAACTTAGTTGAATCACTTTGTTACTGACTTGGAGTAAATAAATACCAGGTCTAACACTCAAGAGACGAGAAGCTATGACAAATACAGAATGCATCTTTCAAGGTACTGTGTACACAGTCTTTATTAGTAGACTCTTGTATACCATCCGTCAGGAATATCAAAGCAGCAAGCAAAAGCAAGAGAGTACTTAACATCAATGGCAAGGGTGTTTTTTGGTTGGCTGGTTTGAGGTTTTTATTTGTTTGCTTGTTTTCCTCACCTGAATTGTTCTTGGAAAGTTACTGATTTAGAAACAATATGGGCAGTCCATCCCCCTTGGAACACAAGGCACATCTCCCTGTGCAAAAGCACTGCTGATAACTGGGACAGCGAAACTTCACTTGGCCAACGACTGCCCATAAAGGCTATTTGCCAAAAGTGACATCTTAGGGGTGTTGGGGGGTTTTGTTTATTTTTGAACTGTTGACTCTTCCCATTTAAATTGTATCATTCTACTGGCTACACCACCATTTCCCATCTCCTGAGCAACAACTTGGCAAGGCATAAAAGCTGGTCTTACAGAAAGGAATAGCGTATTACTCCACACCAGGTACGCTGAAATAAAGTTAGCAGAAAAACCATTGCTGGACAGAGAGGAAAAAAAAAAAAGAGCTTCCTAATAAAAATATTTAATGCATTTAGTAGCATAACTGGTAGTATCAGTAAAATAGATTTTTATCTTCTTAGATGCATGCAACTTCCAAACTTTTATTATTAACCACACAGTCAAAATAAATTATGAAAAGTGAGTTATTTTCTTACCATGACTCCTGCCAACAAAATTATTACTTAGTGTCACAGTGTTTCCAATTCACTTAGAGCATTGTGGGATAAGACTGGATTATGATGGTACTACCAGTTATATTTCCCCCACCATCACCCTGCTAACAAGCTCTTAGAAAATCTGGAGTCTGTGTGTGCACACCAAAGACTCAATACTGCACTATGGCCTCTTCTCAAGAGACAAACTGCTTCAAAATATATCGTACTCAAACCTCTTCTTATGTAACATGGCTGTTAAATCCAATTAATACAACTGTATTACTTTAACTCATTTTAATCATTAAACAGAGACGCAGCCAGCACATTGCTACCACTACTTGGGTAATACTGACATCCATCTTTAGATAGCTGGAAGCAGACCGTATGTAGAAAATGACTATCTATCTACTTCATGCTGCTGTTACACAAGAGGTTCAAAATTCTTGTCCTACAACTCAGAACTAATTACAGCTTTTAGTACATACATTTATACCGTGTGAGAGTAACCGATGCAAAACCGCGAAACCTTACGCTGCAGACCACTCCACAACTAAGTACGGGAGGAATGCTTTCTCACCAAGAGTGTACTTTAAACTAGAAGTATAGAAAGCCATGCAATATTTTTAATTGGGAAGTCTCAAAGATGACATTTTGGAATATATGCAGACTGAGTCAACATGCCTTATACAGATGGATACACCGAGTTTGTCAAATACACATAGTAGTGGGATCTCAAGCCGCGCACCAGCGGATCTGAACACAGAGCATTCACCAATATTTTTAAGTCCTTAGCTCTTGAATTTGCATTGGGAGAATCAGAGTATCAAGGGCTCACATATGCATACAGTGGGGTTGTGCACCTTCCGCTTCGTGACAGAAGGAGAGTAATGTTTTATGAGGCATGATAAAAAAGTAATGTTAGCTTCCCGTAAAGGAGTTCCCTCCTCGGGATGCAACTCTACAATTTTAAAGCTTTTCAAACTCTTTATACAAATGAAAAGCTGAAGTTAAAAATGTAAACATATAAAATCTTAAAATTCCATTTATGTTATGTAGAACTAGATATATACACACACACTTATTTTTTTAAAATAAGAATTGACTCCATCGTCACCTCTCTAGATATAAACTCAGGATCTTGCTTGCTTCATGTTTTCAAATATATTTTAGACCTCTCTAAGAAACTTTGCCCAAGATAAATCTGTGTAAATAACTGTATACAAGTCAAGTTTCCTCATGATTTAGAAAGCAAAATTTAAAGCACATTTTTTCTATATTCACAGTGATATATCTGTATGATATAGCTCACGTAACATTTCCAAGTTGCAATCAACAAACTTCTCAATCAAGATCAATCTATTTATGACTAACTTATCTGAATATATACTTGTATGAAATTATAACTGAAGAACTGATACAAACCAGTATGTTTTCTTGCTGAACTGCACATTCTAGAGAAGACTCTGAATATAAGAGTTGGTGGGTTTTTTTCTTAAAGACAAATACTGTTCTGCGTGGTGCACTACGGTTTGCAATCTATCGAGAGCTCGTTTCCACAGGAAACGGTGGCAATTAGAAGTGGACAAATCGCAGTGATCTGGCAGAACAACATAGTATCTCCCTGTAGAATGGAAGACCAGAAAGATTGCAACCTGTAATAAGACAGGAGTTATCATTTCCACTGGAAACAAACACAACTACTACTGAGAAGTCAGGAAAACTTGCCAGCGTTTCCTCCCCAAATATAGAAGCAAGATGGCAAAGAACATGCCAAAAAGCTGCTTGACCACAGGGATCAGTAAGGGAAAAAATAATAATAAAAAACCCCAGATGATGTATTAAACGACAACGGAATAAAACTTAAGACTGGATACCAGGAAATTTTGAAATCAGAGTGCTACAAAATTTTCATTTCAGTTTCTCTTTTGTGAATTAATTCAAACTTACAATCTTTAAAGCACTAAGGAACAAATTCAGAGTTAGATGTGCACCTGTAGATAAATGAGAAAATTCCCAAACTGAAAGACTTGAGAGGGCAAACTCTCCTTGAAGACCAAAGCAGAGTATTCTTGGCAGGTTGTCCTTCTCAAGGGGCCGACTGTTGGTCAATCAGTTAATTCTGTGGCACTCAGTTTTTTTACAAAACGTTTAATATTAAAGTGTTCCTCATGTAGTCAGGTCACACGCATTAGGAGTTTTTCAAAGTATGTTTAAACCGTAACAACAAGAAGACACTGGATTCTGTAACAGTTACTATTAAAATGGATAATAATTCTGACAGAGTTGATATAATGGGGAGGAGCAGAAATGAAAAAATAAAATCAAAATTCCCCAAGTTTGTTTTGTTAAAACCATCACACTGGCAGTTCATTTGAACGGTCATTCTCATTTTCTTCAGCATTATTCTTTTTCTCACTCTTGTATGTGGAAAGGAATAAGTTTTCTATCTGAGTCAAGAACTCTTCTGCAATGAAGCAGTTTGTTACCTTGCCCAAAGTCTTCCTCATGCACTCCAACAGCTAGTCAAAAGAAAAGGAGATTTTTTTTAAATTCTCATTTTTCCCTGAGTTTATTTTTTCCCCTTCTAGCAAATAAGTATTCCAAAGGGATTTTTATTTATTCACTTAGGAATAGCACTACAGAAAGTGTTCAACTGTACAACATAAATTTTAGAAAGCAGCAGTCACACAGGAACACGGGTGATTTAAAACCAATTCTTTAAAGCCAATTACACAACAGCTAAATTCAAGAGTAATCTACCAACTCAATTTTAGATTTAAGCTGTTTATAAGCAAAGTCATGTTGAGTTGAAAAAAAAAATTAGATGTGGGTAATCACTGCATATGTGTTTTCTGCTTGTGTCTCCTGCTTTGGGCAGAGTTTCTGTCTTGTTTGGGCAATTAATGTTACAGCTGGAGTTATTTCAAGCTTCATAGCAACAACTACGCTGATGGAAAATTAAAGTTCCCCCTTACGCATGACAGAGATGGCACAGCACTAGTTTACCCATCGAACAAAGGACTAGGAAGTCCAAATCTTCCCTCAAAATGCATGCAGTTCTCAGCACTGAAAGCATACAACATGCTGAGCAGAGACACGATTCATTTGCCATTCTTCTCCAAATTGAGGTTAAAACTTGGTATCTGCATGTAACCCTTGTCCTCAACTCTCCCAAATCAACAGACTTATTTTCACTGTGTTTGCAAGTAAAGAAGCTGCACTATAGAAATCAGTTATTGTGATTAGTTTACATCTCCAATCTATAAAATTGTAACTTCTGATGATATGAAACAGATTTCTATTAAAAAAAAAAAACACTTAAATTGAAAAAGCTAAAAATTAAAAGAAGAAAACTTACTTTCTGTAAACAAGTCAGGTCAGAATCTCTGTGAAAAATTTTATCCATGGGGACACTGCTGTTGAAAGAAAAACAAATAGTAGTGCTGCAGAAAGCAGACACGTCTTTATTGAAACATCAGTAACAAACATGCACAAATTTGAAACTGGCTATTCTTTGTACTATAAGTAGACACATACCTATGGCAGAATCTGTATTTTTCAATTATCCATCTCGTTTTTTCAAATACTAATTCCCACTGTGGTTCTTCCAACATCTGCTGTACTTCAAATTTGTAGGGCAGGCCTGTAATCAAAGGAACATGATTATTCAGTGTCTCTCGTACACTCACTTTTTTTTTTTTTCCCTTTTTTAGTTTTAGGTGCAATCCCTTCCTTCCCGTAACTGTTCATGATGTATTACTGACTGCAGAAGCTTGCAGCCCTGTTACCTGCCAATGTTAAGGAGATTAAAGTATTATGTTTTTTTGATTCCAAATTTAATTTTGGTGGGAGCAGGGAACAAACCTGTTCTCCTCCTTGCCCTCACCAACACCTCATGCCATAAGGCAGCACACAGAATCTACAGCACAGCAGAAAAATGGGGGAATTGAGTTCTTATACCTTAGTACCACTTTTGTAGTCTCTAAAATCTACATGGTTACTAAGTGAAGAAAAAAGGTTTTGTTTTTCACATATGAACTGGCTGATGAAGTGCCTGACTATTGTTCTAGATTTCAGAGGAATTTTGCTCCCAAAGGAAGAAATTCTTCTGGTTTACTGGAGGTGGGGGAAGTATTCTAAAGGAACGCTAGAAAATTACTTGCAGAACACAACTCAGTTACCAAAAATCAGGGAGAAAGAAAGAGACTCTGTATTTCAGTAAATCATTACCAAAATCTCCAACAACAACCACCCCCCACCCCCCCCAAAAAAAGCCTTTTCAAGGTAATAAGAATTTAATGAGATGAAACGCATGCTTTCCAACTATTCCTGAAAGTGGAAAGAAAGCAATAAATACAATTTGTTATTTGAACATATCTCAAATGTTGAGAGCGTTCAGTGCAGAATGCGTTTCCAAGAGTAAGAATTAATCTATAGAAATATTTATTGTTCATGAAATACTAGTTTTTGTTCATTTGCACAGCACTATAGTACTATTGCCACAGTAGAACTTTCCCAAAGAGGTAGAGGAGGTACCATTTTGTAAAAGGTTGACTTCAGGAGATAAACATAACTAAGAAATCCTCTCAGACAGAAAAATGTATATGACCAAAAAGTCAACTTCTAAGGGCAGATAAAGTTTCTAAGTATTTTAACTCCACACCACGAGGATGGGATGGATGGGAAATGAGGATAAAACTATGGTACTATCAGTACGGTAAACAGGAACTGTCGCACAGATGTGGCCACTGCTTCACTTCCCCCAGGACTGCAAAGCAAGTCTGCAGGCAGATGGTCTGCCTTGCTTACTTCCACAGGAAAAAACAGAGGGGGAACGGTCGGCTCACGTGGCCGCTGCTATTGCCTTGCCAAGGAAACTGGAAACCTCAGAGTCTGGATGCAAAAAATCAGGACTTAAACAGGGGGAGGGAGGAGGAGAGAGAAGAGGCAGCGACCATAACCATACACTGTTATCACGGGAATTTTCCTCAAATTAATGCCAGGGAATGAGCAGAAGATGCGATTGTCACGTGAAATACCATAAATTTTATACGAGATCTTAACTATTCAAGAAAGGAAACATCCCATTTTCATGCAATGCCAACGACATGTTTAATCAAGAATTTGTTCTCGTCAGTTGGGATTCGTGCCAGCACAGCAGTTCATCTTTCCTGTCTTGTCTTTTCCTGGACAGCTGGCAAGTTTGATCCGTTGACCTTCCCAATGCTAAGTTACTATAGCAGCCAATTCTTTGCTATTACACTGCTGTCTCCTCGATCAGAGGATCTGTTCTGTAACGCAGCAAAGTTTAAGTAATACATGCGAAGCAGTTTCTCAGCTATTCATATGGATGTTGTATGTAAATAACAGTGACCCTTCTCCCAACCCTTTAATTTCTTTCATGGATTGTGGGAAATACTAACACAGAAATACCATCTTCTAGCTATTTATACCTATATATTCTTCTCACGACAGCATGGACTACTTGCAGGATTACACTTCAAGTGAAATTCCTGGGTTTGTACAGCACAAGTTACTAACATAAATAAATACCTATTTCTCAAGTTCAAGAACAGATAACATTTTTCCCCTTAGTATCCAAAAGGAAAAGAAAAATTAAGACAATGGATAAAATATCAGTACTTACGGTAGGAACCATCAGAACTGATCTCATCGCTAATTACTAGACAAGTAATCTGAGAATATGGAAGAGGATTATTTCGGTTGTAAGGACTTATAATCATTCCAATGAACATGGCACCACCCCTGGAGAAATAACTCTAAAAAAACCAAACACACACAAAAAAAGCCACATACAGGAAATACAACCTTTTTCACAACAGCATTCTGAAATAAGCTCTATTTTTTCAATGTCAATGTATGAACAAACCAATTTTAAGATGCATTAGAGCAATAATTTGCCTTAACATTGTAAATACCGGGGAGGCTTTAGGGTTGTTGGGAGTACAGACTGGCAAATACCTGGTATTTAGCTTGAGTGTCAATATCTCGTATTGAGGGGTTGGGGTCAAAGGCAGGGTGGGAATGGTACCACCCAATAACGCTGTATCCTCTGGCAGCCAGCGTTTCCGAGGCCTGCGTCTGAGACACCGGATCCATCTCGCACTGCAGTCCTGTACTGAGGCTGTTGCATGGCTCTGCTGCGCAAACCTGTTAAAAAAGTCTCCAGATGGATAAATGCAAGAAGTTTCTATCAGTTAAATAAAGTTTAAAGAATTTTCAGTCATATACCAGATCTTCCTCGTGATAGAGTTGACAGGCCAACCCTTGAACATAAGCATAACTAACATTTCAAGACTACAGTAATTAACTTCAATTCTAATATATTTAAGTAGTTGCCCTTCAGAAATAACATTTACATCTATTCAAATTATATATGTTTTTATATTTTAGAGAAAATGTGAAAAGACAAACACTTACTTCTACAACTTTATCAGCTTCAGAGTATCTTCCACCTAGCAGCCCTATTACTTCTGCCATAGACACATGAGAGTGCTGAAAGGATATTAAACAATCATTAAAGTCCAAGTCCTATAATGCCTCCTCATTTCGATCCACACACGACAGAACGCATTGGCTTCACAGCTACAAGTCAGTAACTTCTCAATGACGTTCAGC